AAAATATTGTATGGGAAGGGTATTTTCACATTCAATAATGAGTTATTCACATTTGATGATGGTCAGTTATAGTGAAAGTAAAGTTATGTTCACAGCAATGTTTTTTCACCATTGAACTTTTAGGATGTTTTGCCCATGTCGTTCACATATAGCACAAGATCTCTCAGAAGTACTGAACATTGTTTATTGATATTGCCTAAATAATCAAAATATAATCTACTGTCTTACTGTGAAATTCTATTACAATATTAGATATGTAAAAGACGTTCCAAGATTGTGAATACTTACAGAAGTCCAGCGTCATTGACAGTCAAAGCACTTCAGAAAGGTTATAAACATTTAGAACTGTTATCATTATCACATATAAGAAGAGTATTAGATATCAATGAAACTGAAGGTAATCTCAACCATCATTTTATTAACTATTGTTAATGACTTTTTGTTAGTAATCAGGTCTCTTAAATTTTCATCTTTCCGTGAAATAGCTGAGAAGTACCATTTCTGTGACCGGGACAATCGTATAATTTGGCAACAAGTCATAGCTGTAATTGTGTAGAGCTCCAGTTAAGCACTTCATGTTTAGGCAAAGTCAACAGGGGATTTTACTATTAAACTAAAAGACAGTGACTTGGAATTGATTGAACCTTTGGAAAGATTTCTATAACATATTGTCATTGCAAACCAGATGATGGAAAACACTGACATTACAATAAGAAGGTCTTGATCACTACTATGGAATAGGCAGTTTGAACAGCATATGTTTGTGTTTTGTATAAACAAACAATGTTATATTACACATGTATACGTTGCTATGAGTTCACATCAAATACTAATAAAATAAAATAAAATAAAATAAAGTTAAAAAATGTATTCATTAGTTTTTTATTTTGTCACTTTTCTTTTAGATTGTCAGAATGCCTTTGCTATACTGGTGAGACCTATTGATGGATTAGATAGAACAGACAGAATCTATATGTTTATGTTAACTGGTGAAGATCAAAATAAATCCACATGGCTGAAAACATTATGTAAACACATGGCAAATACTACATGTAAAGCTGACTCAGTAAGTATTTAGTTCTCTGCATACTTTCATCTTTGTGTGTGTCTGTTCAACATTATTTGTCAGACATGCCTGGACCAATTTTGTTCAAAGTTGGAGAAAGGCATATTATAGGGAAAGACATATGCACATCAATTTTTTGTTCTTTTGACCTTTGACTGAGTGTTTTTGTTCAAATAAAATTTGGTATTGATTGACATCACTCATGGCGGGTTACTTGTGCACGTCAATTTTTTCTTATACTACCTTATTTGAGGAACATGTAGTTGACTGATTGTCATGTTGTTGGTTTTATTCCAGTATGTTCTTAACCATTTAATATTTATGGAAATAAATTTTGGAGCCAACAGACAGAAGTCATTTTTTTTTTCAGTTTTATTCAGAAATTTGGCTATTTTTGTTCCAATCTTCTGAAGGAAAGTGCAGACTATAAACTGGATTATTTTGTGAATTTGTATAGCGCATACCGAAAATAGAATTTTGTTACTGAATGCAATGTTCGCCATGCACACATTTTTTCTTTCTATTTCAGGTAGTTATCTCACATTAAATTATGATATTACAAATTACTCAATGCTGTTTTTTTTTACTAGGAAAATTTCCTGACGCAAATTGATCCACAAGAGCTGGAAATCTCAAAAAGTGATTTTGATGTTGGCAAATTTGGAAGAGCAATCAGGTATATTAATTGTCACTTATTGTTAGTTTCACAAAACTTGTTTTTAACTCTCGTATTTTCTGTGCCAGAATATTATCTACTATGTACTCTCAATAGAACGCTTACACATTTTAATAGTAAATTGTTTTAACAGTAAATCCATTCCACTTCCACTTAATAATAACAACTAGCATATCACAATGTAAACCAATTTCTGTACAGAGTGGCCAGGAAAGCAACAAAGAAGGTTGGTAGGACGTTCTCCTTCAACAAAACTCCTAGACGAATTGTGCAAAGAGCTAAATCTGTGATGTCTACAAGTATGAGTCCATTAGTGATGAATAACCCGACAACTTCATGCCGTACTGTTACTCCAAAAAGAGATGAAATGATGGGAGCCAGACTAGCTAGTAGTTCTTCACTAAAGGTATTCGACTTTAATACGTATTCACCTTCCGAATTCCAAGAAAGCTACGGCCATCTGGCTCAAAGTTTACAGAATCTGGAGGTGTTGTAATAGTTGGAAGAATCAAGTATACATGTACATTACTAATAACTATGCTTACATGCTAACAAGGCTGATAAATAAATAAATAACATTTTATTTTCATATTTCTACTAAAATCTTTAAATATTGTTTTTACCAACTAATTATCATTTTCAGGCATCAAGTCTTTCTACCTTGTCTCTAATCTTTCAGCTTGTTTCCACTTCTCGTCCCCCCTCTTCAAAAAAGAAACTCAAGTTTTCAATGAGAAAAAAGAAGACACCATGTACTCCTGAACTGACCAGTGCTATTCAACGTGCAACTTACATTTACTTGGCTAACATCTAACATCTTCCAGTACAGTTATTACACTGTGCACACCCAAACAACAGAATCGGATCTTGCTTACTCTAGCTACTGCCCAAACTTGTTTAAAAATGACTGTAGTCCTGCTCTCCTTGTGTCTGTTGGTATGCCAAGGTTTTGTTCTCCTGACATTCTGCATACTAGTGCACTGACATTGGTCAGTGTATTTTCTGAACTTTCATCCTTTTTCTCTATTCATTGCATTACTTTGCATTGTTTGTTTCATCCATGAATTCTTGCATAATTTATTATTTTGATCATGATTAATTCCTTAGTCATAACACCACCATATCCTTGCTGTTTTGTTTTCATTTCAGTATGCCTATTTAGTGACTGAACTTCTTCTGTCCCCAAGAAAAAAGAAAAAATGAGGCAGCACTAGGGTCCTGCAATTTTTAAGGTAGTTCTGACTTAGATATATGCATGTCTTTATAATTAGCACCAGTATAGCAGGGATTCCACCAGCATTTTCATAAAGCAAGTCTTGATATAAGAATGAATCGATCGAGTATAATCCCAGAATGAGGTTCCCTTATATTGTGAGGTCACAGGTTATTAAACAGTTAATGGGGTTACGACAAATCTATGTTTTGACTAAAAAAACAACTGTGAATTCAAAAATAAATTCAGAGCAGCTTGTATATACATTTCTCATGAGGTTACAAACCAATTTCGATAGCATAGCAAGATTTGAATAAATTTCATCGTTCAAAGAACTGTTGAATTACCTGTAACAGACTCCTCTCCTTCTACTGCATGTATTATCATTTCGTTAAAATCTTGTCTTTCTAAATGCCCTTGGTTTATCTTCCATGTTGGCAGTGTCATGTACTCATGAGTAACCCGTTAACTTTTCAATTAACTTCATTGTCAATAATAATTCAATTGTTAATCCAATAATCAATATTCATTCTAAATGATTTGTCCATTTCAGGATGTGTCTCCTCTAGCTTCTGTCACACCCAAGAAATTTAAAAGTAACACCTTTGGGCCTTCATCAAGCAATCGACTTTAGAACATTCATACATACTTGCTATTATTTTTAACTTGCACAAACAAAGAGGATCATCACCCACTGTGCATGGTGTGCTCTTATTGAGATAGCAAGCAAGACACTCATCATTGCATGAAGATACAGTGGTCACAACACATGTTTTCTGAATTGACTGCATTTAAAGTTTTCAGAAATTGTTCCCATTTATCTATATTTAGCATTTATGTTGTAGATAAAAGAGAAAATCTCTCTGATCAGTATCTCAAAAATGATCAATAACTTGAAGAATTACTTGATTTGAGTTTAAATTGTTGCTTTTACTCTCACTCGTTTTACAGTACTACCTCTCACAAGTATTTCCTTTTGTGTGTTGCCTCAGTTTAGTCTCTGCCACTTGGATGTGGTTCTCACTTGATGTTAAAATGTCTACTTTGTACATTGTGTCTTCACTGCAGTCACAGCTATTTTCATATCTCTGGTTCACGCCTTGATTTCTAACATGTGTGCAAATCTTTGCCTAAAATAACATTGTGAAACCATTAAGTCCCACTCAATGTTTTCACTTGTGCATATGAATAGTATTTGTTTACCATGACAACCGAGAAACATGTTCAGTGTATTTTCTCACAAAATGGTTACCATTAATAACATTACATGCATCATATTAATTGAAGTAATTCTCATCAAATACTGCAAATACAAACATGATATGCACACAAGTAGTTTGCTTGGACAGTGCTAGCTTTGTACATATTATTTGAATCATATGGGTACATACAGAACATCTTTTTTCAATCATATTTATATTTAGCCATTATATTTTAACAATAAACTAATGCACTGTTTAACTTGTAGTATTTTTTATTTGCTACATAGTGACATGTATAAATATGTATATTTTTGGGGTTAATATATTTGGTGTTTTTCACTGCCGATCTTCCTTGAATTAGTTGTAGGAATTTCAAAAGCTGTCTCACACCTTTCAGTAGACTAGATTCCCTGGTTGCTTAGCTACTAACAGTTTGTCAATGCTTCACTTATGGTCAGCTAGAATGCAGTTTTAGGCAGATATTTTACAATATGAGATTCAGTTTTCTACCAAATATGTAGATTTTGTATTGTTGGTTTCCACATTATTATTGACATTGCATGAAACGTTTGTAAAATAAGAAAAAGTGTATTTTTCATTCTTACACACATGGTGAAGTAGGACAAACTATGATTGACAACATGTTAACATTCATACAAGGACTCAACTTGTGAAAGGTTGAACAGGCTCACCAATGCCTGGTTACAAAATCCCCCCTCCCAATCCTTTCTATTTTGAGCACATGCTTATCAACGTAGCAACCAGGGAACTCAAAACTCATCTATTCTTTGTTTTAACTGTATATGTATAATAATTTACTGTAATTTCTGTGATTAGATGATTTATGGCATTTGTAAATTTAGCAAAAGTCTCCATGTCATAGTGCCTCAGAGTTTGTTTCATGCGAAATTAAAGTGATTTACAGTATTGCTATGGCAACCTGCACAAACATGATACTGAGATATGTGTAATGATGTAGGTGGTAAAACTACACAGTGTTCATTTATACCACAGTTCAGTCGTGTCACAGCAACTCAACATGTTGCAGCTCTGAGTAACTATGGTAGGCATAATCTCACTGGAAATCGCCTGCTAACTATACCATTTGCATTGGAAAATAAGAAAATTTGGTGGATTTTAAGAAATGCTTTGCATGTTTGTTGTTTTATGTCATTATCTTATAGCCAGTCAAGCTTTCCTATATGACATTAGACCAGACCCCTTAGTTTGTTATGAAATGACTACTCCCAAGTTTATTTGTATACCGGTAGTCTTAATAATTAGGAAACTACTAGTAAGTAATAACAGCTGTTATATGGTTTCATCTATCCTCTCATTGTACAAAGTCTGACTTTCACTGCCATACCATTGTTTTATTAATGTATTATATTTTATTCTAGAAAATTTAGTTATTAGTGTTTCCTTGTTTTACGCTTGTTAAAGAAGTATAACAATTAAATAAATTTTAGTATCTATATTAAATTGCTTGTTGTTATTATATAATTTGATTATCACCTGGTTTAGCAATAACTTCTGTTTGTAATGCACACAATGGAAGTTTTTGCAGTTACACCATATACATATACATTACCCAATTTATGGCTGTTCTACAGATAACTCCTGAACCACTCAACAGATTACAAAAGGTGCCTCCGGATAATCCGCAAACCTTTTAGTGTTTAGTTGCAATCCATGCAAATTACTTGCAGTATGAATTGGACAGTTTTCAGATATAAACTTGATACACATATGTGCTCTAAAATTTACCTTGGATCTGCTTAGTTGTGAGCTGCCTTTTGTACTTATTAATTGCTTAATTTGCATACTAATTTAAGGTTTTGAGGTATGAAATTCTTTTTGTTTTAGTATTATTAATTTCAATACTGTGGATCAGATTACTTTTATTTGTGCATGTCAAGAAGCCAAGCTATATCTTACATGTAGCTGCCTGGATTCTGTAAGACTGATCTTCACATATTTCCTAGATCTATTTAATGCTTTCAATACCTCCAGCATACTTTAGTTCTAAGCATTTTTGGATTACAGGTATATGATTACTTTTTAGTCCCAAAACAGGGACTATATTTTGGGTCTGACACTCATTGACCGATCTCATTAAAACTTCACACAAAGACAATAAATCATATTTTATTGATGAGATTATTTCTATTTAAAGATTCGGAACAAAAATGGCCAACTGGTTTCCATTTTGGATGTAAAATTTGCTATTTTTGATTCGCAAACGTGCAGGTGCTGTTTCTCGGAGATGACGACGTAACAACGATTTTGATCTAAGTTGGTATGATGATCATACATATTGGGTTACAGGTGCATGTCATTTTTTTTTATCAAGATTCGACTGGCGGCCATTTTGTTTGTTTACATATTTTCCCTCTTTTTCTCTGATACACTTTCACAGATTTATTTAATCTTATTACATAGATAGTATAAATGAAGATACATCAGCACCACTTTTTTTTCTGATTCAATTTAATTTTGATGAAAAAATACTTAAAATAATCACTTTTGTTATGTGTCAGCAGCTGATTCTCAGATATGACTATGTAAGGCCTGCTTATTGATATTGAGAGGGACACTGAAAGAACTCGCACTGGACAAGGGGTTCTGTCACTGCTAAATGGGGGTAGACAAAATAGTACTTGAAATGAAATACACATACACCAAATTATCAAGTTAAAGCTTCTGGCTTTAATACTTCTCAAAATTATTCCAAAAAACGAAAAACAGAATAATACGATGGTTAACTTCACTAAAATAGGAGATTGTCTAGGGAATTGTGCACGATGTAAAAATTGATGACACTCAATGGCTTCTGCAACACAACAACGAAGAGATGCAGGAGTCTTGTTTGTAGAGGAATGCCGTTATTCTGGAGGTCATCACTGAAAGCAGGAGATCGCAGAGCAGTTCATTCAAGTCTCACAGAATGACGATTGAAGCCTGTATCACTTGTCTTACAATATCACAGCAGCAACAAACAGAGTACTCAGTTGAAATGGTGGTCCACAACTGTCTTCAGTCGAGCCTATTTATAGAGCATGAATAGCCTAGTTTCAGGTACCGTACACCACCTGGGTTTCCACAGGAGCCAATCAGAATGTGGTCTTGATTGCAGCTGTCTCACAATGACATGACATGCATGCACGCACTCACATAAGTCAGTAGATCATAAACATCCTTTGCTATGTAAATTACAAGCACACCTGGTAGTTTCCTATTATTTTAAACGAGTATGACCTGTCAATCACCTTTACGGGAGTTATCACATGCCATGCACACCGTTTCCTCCCATGATTTCGTGCACACTTCTATATGCAAGGTTTGAGGTAATATTAAAAAAAAAATAGAATGAAGGATGCTGACAGACTACGACGATTTTGATCAAAGTTGGTGGGTAACACATTAACATGATGAATACTGCAACATTTAATTATAATGTACATCTGTCATTGTTTTTAATTGTCACGGTAACCAAAAACTGGACGGAGACTATGTCATTGACAATGACTTGTTGGATGTGCATTAAGGTAGAAGCTTACTCATAAATTAAAATACCCAGAATTTATTCATTTTGCAATAAACTGTACTCCAATGCAATATAAGGATTTTGACTGAAAAAAAGTTGGGGGTTACCGTCATTTTTTCGAGAAATTGATTTTGACACTTTTACCACACGTTCCTATAGCAGAGATATTATGCGATATCTCAAAATCTAGCCTGGTGACATAGGCTGAAAAAATCATATAATTTTAATGATGGAGTACTTTTTGTTCTGTATTATTTAAAAAATCTGGGTTTTAAAAAGTGTCAAAAAATGCAATTTTACTTTCAAATTTAGGACACATTTCTCAAAAACCTTCACTGTAACACACAAAATAATGCGATTTCATTGTACCATGGGACATTAGTTTCATAATTGTACATACTAATGAACATTGTCATGTGATTTATGACCAATTTTGTCAAAAATTATGACAAGTGAATTTGACAATGGCATATGCATGTTCAAAAGAGAAAGCAGCCATTTTGTTTGTGGAAATGTTTTAGTTCTTTGTATATTTCTCAGACATATTGTATATTTGAAATGGCCACAAAAAAGTAGGAAGCATTAACAAATAGTTAATTTAATGTTTGGAAGTGTTTTAAAATTCATATTACTTATTGTATTAATTATTGTTGAATGATTCTGGACTTGACCTATGATTTTTTATGACAATCATTTGATGTAATCAACTTTTCTACTAATATCTCAAAAAATAATTGATGCCAAATGAAAGTGCACAGAAATTAGATTTTGGTTAAAAAAGGTGCATATTAATTTGCATAACAATTAGTCATTTTTTCAGCAATATTACCAGAG